CCCCCCCCGGGCTTGTGCCCTGTTTCACTGATAGGGTCTAGAATGCTTTTGTTGAGTAAAAAGGAGATGCCCCAATATTCAAAGCTGCTAAATGTTCTCTTTGCCATAAAGACTCCGTGTAACTGTGTGAACACTTGGGCTTTTTCTCCTCTGTCCTGAGGTCTCTTTCTTTTTTGGGTTTCTTCCTAGGAGAATGAGCAGTGCATGTAATGGGGCCCTGAGAGCTCTCTTCCCCCAGGGTCTTGGACACAGGCAGCTTCCCTTTAACATGGCTCCTGGAGGACTGCCTGTGGGAGGTTTTAAGGGAGAGCCCCTAGGTAGCCAGATGGTTCCAGGACCAGGAAGTCTTTCATTTTAACTATTCGCCACTGCTTCCCTCATCCCGGTCCCCCACCTCTGTTCTGGGAAGTCTGCCCCAGACTGGCAGGAGTGAGTTGGGAAAGCACTGATTCCCCTCCCTGTGAGGGGTGGGGTTCCTAACTGAGCAGTAGGGATAGAAGGCGAGAGCCTGGGAGTGCTTTTATAAATTATTTTCCTTGTAGATTTTATTTTTAATTTATCTCTGTGACCTGCCAGGGAGAGGAGACAAAGAGAGAGAGAGATGCTGTGAGCACATGACAAAATAAAATAAAATAAAATGGATGATTCATTCTCAGGTGCGATTTTTCTCCCACTTTGTATTGAAAATGAGAGTAAAGGAAACAGGCGCTGTGCAGGGAGGCTGGCCATTGTGTGGCTAAGGCAGAGCTCACATGGAAAGGTGGGTGGAGAGCCGGGGAGTTTGACAATGGGGAATTTTAAAAGACAGAAGTTCTGTTTTTATTTTTTTGAGCACGTTGAGAGGGAGAGGAATGCCTTCCCCAGGGTTTGGTCACTCTGATCCCCTTCCTCCAGCCCATTGTATCTCAGGCACCGGTGCACGTGCCCAGCATATTCTAGGTGTACCTGGCCGAGGATTTTAACTGTCATCTCTGGCTGATGGGTTCTGTGCTCAATAACCCAGCCCAAGATCTTAATTGTGTTGAATCTTGCATGCAGGGGTTAATACCTCTTTATAGAGTTTGCCAGCTAAATCCTCTCAGTGCAAGGATGCAATTCTTCTGGCCTCTCCTAGAGCTAGGATAGGTGGAGGTGTTGTCACCTGTCTACCAGCTAAAAACTGTGTAAGCTTGTGTGTTATGTTGGGTCTCTCCTGCCAGAGGTGCAGAGCACTGGCGTATGGTCCTGGTGAATCAATGGGACAGACCAACGACAAGCACTTCAGTATTACCAAGAGCAGAACACAAAATAGATTAGGAAGCTAGATCCCAGGGTTCAAGACACATGGGAAAATCTCCCCAGCTAAAGCAAGTAACATCTGCTCCTTTAAAACTTGTTCTAGTGCCCAGTCTGGGAAGAGCTGTAATGCTTTTGGTGAGTGTCGGGATTCCCACATGCTGGTCTCAGGACAAGTGCTTAGAAAATGCCCAGGAACGATGTCTCTGAGTTTGTTGGGGACAAACCTGAGCAGATGGTGTCATTCCCATAATGGAACCTGTGATCTTGAACTCTGGGGTACTACTCCGTCACCTGGCTCAGCTTAGACCTTTAATGATCCTACTAGCATTGTTCTGAGAGGTTGGAATAGAATTCTAAGAATAACAATTTTTTATTTCTATATTTGAATTTATAAGGACCCCTCCTGCCCTACAATCTCTGGTTAGAAAGTCATATCAAACAAAAGCTTGTTCCTAATTGAGATCTGACTAATGATTTGTAAATCAAATAAAACCCAGATTCCTTTAAGGAAGGTGGGGAAAAAAATTAAGACTAAATGTTTGAGAAAAACCTTCATTCATACCAATAATTTAAAAATACAAGCTATATAAAGGGTAAACTGTGACAAGTGAAACCGTAATTCAGTTTTTTTAAAAGAATAATTTTATTTATTCACTCATTTGTTTTTAATTTGACCATAGAGAGACCAGAGATAGACAGAGAGAGAGGGAAAGTGAGAAAGCAAGCCACCAGGTCCGGGACTTGAACCATGGTCAGCCATGTGGGAGTGTCCAGAACCTTAACCACTAACTGTGTTAGTATACAGTTAGGCTACAACTTTAATCTTGTTTTCTAACTTTTTCTTCCTTCAAAGTCTTAAGAGGTTTGGAAAACCCGCCCTTGCTAGAAGTGTATTTTTGTCACTCCTCAGTTTTGTCTGGGCTCAGGCTGATTAGCTGGGTCTGGGGTCCAGGTTGGTCAGCAGTGCTGTGGGGCCGATCTCATCTTTTTTTGGGGGGAGGATGGTGGTGGAGGAGAGATTTTTGCTATAGGGCACGTGTGATCGCCAGACACAGAGAGACAGAAAGTGAGAAATCACCCCCTGGGGGAATGGCCGCGCTGCAATCGCTTCTCCATTCTCCTCTTGGGATCTTGGACACGCACGCACACGGCCTGGCGTGAGTTTAAGCCACTGAGTCCGGGACTTGAACCATGGTCGGCTACATGAGAGTCCAGCGACATAGCTATACGCTGACTGCTGGTCCCGGGCTGATCTCATTTTGTTGCTGGCAGGTAGAATTGTGTTTCAGCCTCTGGCATTTTTTCTGACAAGTAAGATTGTGAAAAGGCTGCTACCAAGATCCCATCTACCCAAGACAGGCATAAGAGGTCCCAGGGTGAGGCAGGGAGATGAGCAGGCTTTAGGCTAATGAAAGAGCAAACTCCGCAGGGTGACCTGGTTAGAGGGGTATGGGGTCAGTGCTTGACTAAAACCGATTTAATGCACACATCTTTTCTTATGTAAGGACATGGAAATAAACCTGTTGTTTCAACCTCTACCCAGCATGGATTTCATCAGTGAAGCTGGAGCGAATTTGGTATAATGGCTATGTTGCTGGACTCCCATGTAGTCGACTGCAGTTCAAGTCCCAGACCTGGTCTCATGCTGGGCGCGTGTGCATGCGTGCTCAAGATCCCGAGAGGAGAATGGAGGAGAAAGGATTGTGGCATGGCCATCCCGCCCTGGGCGGGGGGGTGATTTCTCGCTTTCTGTTTCTCTGTTTCTGTGTCTCTGGTGAGCGCATGTGCCCTGTAGCAAAAACCTCTCAAAAAAAAAAAAAAGTGATCTAGAGATATTCAATGTCATATTTGCATATTCACCTTGCAGAACTAACTCCACCCTTACTGGGGAAAGCTGCCCCATAACTAGTGGGAGGTACCTGCTATGCCTGCTTCAGGCTGGCCCATCCCTGTTTTATAACCCCCAGCTACACCAGATCTTGCTGCTCTTGAGGCTTGTTTGACAAAGAACTGGAAAAATAAGTGCCTTGTAGGAAAAAGTCACCACAGGCTTGTATCCTGCTTCATCCTGTAGAAATTGCTGAACAAGAGCAGTAACCTGAGACACTGGACTGAATAGTGTGGGGCCTTCCTAGTGATAGTGCATAGACTGTGGAAACAGGTGCTAGATGGATGTCCACCTCTGCCACAGGTAGAAATTCTCTAAACTCGGGTGCTTGATTATCACGAGTGGTTAAGCCTTATTTACTATCAGTGGATCCATCTGGTAAGTGGAAGGGGTTCATAATGAACCTTCGAGTTGTCTTTTTATTCTTTTTTAAAGAGAGATTTTTGCTATAGGGTGTATGGGTTTGCTAGAGACAGAAAAATGAGAAATCACCCCCTAGGGGGTATGGCTAGAATTTTGGAAATCTATTTGTATTGTAAATAATAGTATTTTTTACTTAATTCTAGATGCTGTTTCAACCAAGGAAACCTAGCTCACCTAGGGAGAGGTGGAGAAAAGAACAAGGAGTTGGTACTCTGGCTTTTGTTTTAAACTCCGGTTTACTTAGGCTAATACAATTGACTGAATCCTTCCAGTCTTCAGGTAGGAGCTGAAGTATAGAATTTTGGAATTCTATTTGTATTGTAAATAATAGTATTTTTTACTTAATTCTAGATGCTGTTTCAACCAAGGAAACCTAGCTCACCTAGGGAGAGGTGGAGAAAAGAACAAGGAGTTGGTACTCTGGCTTTTGTTTTAAACTCCGGTTTACTTAGGCTAATACAATTGACTGAATCCTTCCAGTCTTCAGGTAGGAGCTGAAGTAGTCACTGAAACAATGGGCTAGTATCTTAGAGCTGGAACTCAAAGTTGTCTAGTCTGACCCTAGACTGCAAACAGGGCAGGCTTGCTCAAGGTCAACTAAGATTTAGAAATCCATTTGAGGTAAATAGGGTTTGGTACTGTCACAAACTACCATACAAACCAACAAGGTCACAGTGCAGACCTAGTCCTGCTGTTAAATAGTCATGAGGGCAAGCAGGTAGCATAGTAGTTAGGGTGCTGGTCTCTCACATAGCCAGTAGTAGTTTGAGTCCCAGACCTGGCAGCTTGCTTTCTTCCCCACCCCATGAGCACACATGCCCTATAGCATTAATAATAATAAATATGGGGACCAGCAGATGACATAATGGCTACGTCACTGGACTCCCATGTAGTTGACCACAGTTCAAATCCTGGAACT